TGTTTGGAGATGATGGAGCTAGGCACATGATCCCAGACCTTAATGCCACGGATGAAGTACCAGTTTCACATAATGCACCTCCAGGAGATCAGTGCTAGAGTGCTTGAAGTTCTTAAATAAACTTCAAGCTACTTTGTAGAAGTTCATGTATGAACTTTATTTTTTTAAGTGCTCATTTTGTAATGGTGTAGCCACTATTTTTGTAATGATGCACCCACTTTAGTGTTGTGTGCAATCTGCTGTGATCAAAATTCAGTAAAAACTTGATCAGTTCTGCAATATACTGTGATCATATTCAACATTTAAGTGTTGTCTTGCTTAATTTTTTAGATGAATGTTTCTACCAAATTCAGACTTGTCTGAATTCAGTAAAAACTTGTTCTGGAGATGCATGTTTCTGCCAAATTTACTGCACTGGACTGAATTTTAACATCTATTTTTTTGCTGTCAAATTCAGTGCAAACAGAAGTTTCTACATCTGTCCAATTTTAACATCTATTTCTGACAGATTGTGCTTCTGCTGTCAACATGACTGAATTTTGCTTCTGCTGTAACATGACAAAAAAAATTGTACTGCACTGGACTGAATTTTAACATCTATTTTTTTGCTGTCAAATTCAGTGCAAACAGAAGTTTCTACATCTGTCCAATTTTAACATCTATTTCTGACAGATTGTGCTTCTGCTGTCAACATGACTGAATTTTGCTTCTGCTGTAACATGACAAAAAAAATTGTACTGCACTGGACTGAATTTTAACATCTATTTTTTTGCTGTCAAATTCAGTGCAAACAGAAGTTTCTACATCTGTCCAATTTTAACATCTATTTCTGACAGATTGTGCTTCTGCTGTCAACATGACTGAATTTTGCTTCTGCTGTAACATGACAAAAAAAATTGTACTGCACTGGACTGAATTTTAACATCTATTTTTTTGCTGTCAAATTCAGTGCAAACAGAAGTTTCTACATCTGTCCAATTTTAACATCTATTTCTGACAGATTGTGCTTCTGCTGTCAACATGACTGAATTTTGCTTCTGCTGTAACATGACAAAAAAAATTGTACTGCACTGGACTGAATTTTAACATCTATTTTTTTGCTGTCAAATTCAGTGCAAACAGAAGTTTCTACATCTGTCCAATTTTAACATCTATTTCTGACAGATTGTGCTTCTGCTGTCAACATGACTGAATTTTGCTTCTGCTGTAACATGACAAAAAAAATTGTAGATACTGGGACTCGAACCCAGGATGAGCAGTGACATGCAACAGTCAATATACCAGTACGCTATGAGTGGATTTCGCTCAAACTACGTCTTATACCTCTTTTCTATGCTGAGGACGTGACCTCACTACAGCCTTCCACGGCCGCGTACTCCAGTTTTCAGTGAGCACTGCAGCAAGCAAGGAGGCCACCCGGCGTTTCGTCTGCGACGCACGTCCAACAAGGGAGGAAGCTGTACTACCGCTGCACGTCCATGTTACGGCCGCACACTCTGACCGTGTGTGTAGGGTGGCGGCACACCACGAGGCGGCGCGTGACGCATATATGGCGCGCAACAGTTTGACCAGCAGCTGAGGATGGTCGCACGCAAGCCGGCGGCGCACGACGGCAAGGCTAGCTGTACCCGTGCCCCTCATGCCCTGTCGTCGGACGACGAGGAGTAAGCATCTAGTCTGAACTTTCGTCAGTTCAGTTAGTGCAGACGAAAGCGCAGTTACGTCAGTGTAGTTGTACTGCCATCAGTGAGTCTTGCATCAGTAGTTTGTGCTCTCGCCGGCGATGAGAGATCAGCGGTGTTGAATGAGAGCGACAACGGCGGCGAGGGCAAGGGGCGAGAGAAGTTATTAGGGATTGAAATTAGGGAATCGCCGCGAGCAGAGGATTTGGAGTTTTGTGTGCTACTGACCAGGGAACCTAATAACATAAATAATATACATAGTGGGGGGCTTTCTAAAAAATAACAAGACGCCGGGCGCGTGCCTTTATCCGACGTGGCCTGCCAAATGTCACGTTGTGAGCAATTTGTATGCGTTTGTTACGGCAGTAGAGTTCATGTACTACTTTTTTGGGGTTTTTTAGTTTTTGTATGAAACTGTTCCCACCACCACAAGTTTATGTACTAAAACATGTATTAACTCTTGATGCATCGGGATATATAAACTCATTGAACGTCCCCGAATTCTTATTTGGAAGTTGGATATGATCGTCTATGTTCTCAAATTCCTGACCTTCGACGTCACCTTAACCCTCATCCTTCATGATTATGTTGTTCATGACCACACAACATGTCATCACCTCCCATAAGGTTTCCGGATCCCGTATTTCTGTAGGCTCTCGAACAACTTGAAAACAGGCTTGGAGCATTGCAAATGTCCTCTCCATATCCTTACTAACTCATTGTCTTTGGGCAAAGCGAGCTCTTTTTTGACTAACTAGCTAAGAGATGATCTTCGCAAAGGAGGATACACAGATGTTGTCAACCAGATAGTAGCGCATGTTATAGTCATGTCCAATGGCAATATCCATTGGCAGTATAGTTGCATGGATATTTCAAAATCCATGTCCCAATCCATAACTTCAAACAAGGGACAAAATTTGTCAAAATTTTAGGGCAAACATTTCATCAAACACTTGCCGGGTGTGGTGAACTCACGGACGGCATCCGCAGGGGCATGGACTTGCGCGGTGGACGGACGAGAGCTGGAACGGCGGCGTAGGTACATTTTTGGAACAATGTCTTTGAATAAATATTGATCATTTCCAAATACACGTTGAATGTGTTTCGAGTGGTATGAAATACTTTGTTTTTCATTTACTGCCTCTGTCCCAAAATCTAAGACAAATCTAAGATACATCCGTATCTAGACAAATCTAAGACAAGAATTTTGGGACAGAGGGATTATTTTTAAATGTTGCAAGCATTTTGTGAAACACGTGAACATTTTTTGTTGACTGTACAAAACTTTGTTTTAAACTACGTGCACATATTTTACATTGTATAAACATTTTTTATTGTCACAAAAAAATTGACAAAAATATTTATTGCATAAACATTTTTTTGAATGGTACAATACACTTTTTTACAAATTCTGTGAACATTTTTATATTCTATTAACACTTTTAAAAGTCATGAACTTTTGGTGATACGCACAAACATCTTTTAAAGGTCATGAACATTTGTTTATGGTAACAACAATTTTTTAAAGTTGCGCCAACACTTTATTTACGCTGCATGAATGTTTTTTAAATGAATAATTATTATTTAAAAAAGATTCCTTTTCAGAAATATAAATAAAAGTTTGTGATAGGGCGCCAGCTATACCTGGCCATGGGCAGCCCGGCCCGGTCGGCCCGACCCGACCCGACCCGAAAAAGCCTGACCCGGCCTGGCCCGACCTTGTCCATGGGCCGGGCTCAGGCCTAGGTTTTGAGCCCGAAGCCCGGGCCGGGCCGGGCCCGGGCCCGTCAATTTTGCCATTTAAGGAAGAGGCCCGGCCCGTGGCCCAAGGCCCGACGGGCTTTTAGTGTGATGGGCCGGGCTCGGGTCCGATTTTTAGGCCCGACGGCCGGGCCGGGCTCAGGCCTGGGTTTTTTGCGTCGGGCTTTGGTTGGCCCGGCCCGGCCCGAGGAATGGCCAGGTATAGCGCCAGCGCTCCTCCCATGCTAGGCCGGTCTATTTTGGGCATCCTTGATGCGAGATGTGCTTGTGCCTTGCTGCGGGTGAGACAAAGCCGCTCCCATAGATTATTAAAACACGATGAGCATTTCTTAAATTCATGATGAAATTTTCCTAAAAATACGATGAATATTTTTAAAGTATAATGAATTTTTTAAACATGATATTTTTTAAATACATTATAAAGTGTTTAAAAAACATGATATAAAATTTAGAATAAAAATGAATATTTTTTAATACATTATGAGAAATTTTGATGCGCGGTACTCTCACCGTCCCATAATAGACATTTTTATAAGCTATGTTAGTTTGAGAAAACGTCTTATATTATGGGATAGAGAGAGTATTTTTTTTTATACACGATGATCTTTTTCTGAAAACATATAACTTTTTTAAAGACAAGATGAACATTTTTAATACATGATGAGCATTTTCAAATACACAATGATTACTTTTGGATAAAGTATACAACAGACATTTTCAAAACAGGATGATTATTTTATAGACACAACAATTTTTTTAAAAACATGATATGTTTTCTTTTCTGGATTGGCTGAAAAGCTAACATGCAACGTTCGGCTAACTGAATTTCCTAACAAGACTTCCTGGAGCCATGAGTAGCATGCCGCAAAACTGAAGATCAATATTTGTAAGAGAAGACTCCGGGGCGTGTGATTCCTTTAGCAGTTTTTTTTAGGTAATGGGCGGCGCTTCATTGATTTAATCACAACAAGTTCATTACAAAGCAGAGCTCGGATGAAATCCGGAGCTTCAACATACCAAGCACCTACGACGACATGTTCCGCCGATCGCATGATAGCAGGAGCCGCCCTATTACAGACTCAACTAACATGAATATGGAAACTGAAACAAACTTCAATGCTAACAGCTTGATGTAGTACCAGTAGACGACCGATCAGCTTTTGGAGGCATTCAGCTTAGCCACCAGAGAAGAACAATCAGAAGCTCTGAATACCATCAGCAAGAGAACAGGATAAAGTATATCAAGTGGCCATTGCTTCAGCGGGTTCAGGATGGCAAACCTTCTCCTAGAAGCGATGGTGAGCGTTCAGGAACATACCAGTGATCACGGGGACACAACAGAACAACACCAGCACCAATACATTCAGATTGTAAGAAGACGGCAGCATCAAAGTTGACCATAACCTTGTCCTCCCGGCGGACTTCATCTTTGAACTGAGGGGGTGAAATCACAACTTTTGGAAGCTTTGGCTTTGAAAGAGTGCTGCAAAATCATCTCAATGCAAGCTTGGGAGAACAGGAAACAGTGCATGGGTGGAACTTGAAAACTTTGAGACCCTATCGCCCCTCCAGTACTGTAAGGGCTTCCATATCCACAGAGTCCTCACCGTAGTCTGCTCTCTTTGCTGCCTTATTTCTCTGAGAAAAATACAGTGGCTTATCAGGCCTTGCAAGTGGTGTGCTTCTACTCTCCAAGGTTGATACAACGGTTGACATGAGTGGTCTGGCATCCGGATCATCCTGAACACACAAGAGCCCAACATGGATGCAACACAAAACGTCTTCATTCGAGCAGCCCTCTGGAACTGAAGGATCCACCAAATCCATTGCTAACCCTTCCTTCCATAGACTCCATGCCTGAATAAATCGAATCAAAAAAAATTTAAGTCAAGTGGTCAAAAGGAATTGCAGACATTGGCAATGATAAATCGTAATCTTACATATATTATAAGGTTGGGGAACTCCTTGATGTTCTCGGTTGAGCTAATCCTTAGACCACTTACAGTTTCCAAGAGCAACACTCCAAAGCTATAGACATCAGACTTAACAGAAAAGAGGCCTTCCATTGCATATTCTAGAGACATATAACCGCTGGATAAATCATATCATCAGCAAGACTTGTACGTTTCGAGTTGAGTTTAACTATGAATGACTTTAATGAGCAACTACACGCAAGATAGTACTTACTATGTTCCGACAACTCGGTTAGTGTTCGCCTGTTGCTCATCTCCACCAAAGATTCTTGCCATGCCAAAATCAGATATCTTGGGATTCATATCTCCATCTAGCAAAATGTTGCTTGTTTTCAGATCCCTATGAATTATCATCAGTCTTGAATCTTGATGGAGATAGAGTAGCCCCCTAGCCACTCCTTTTATTATATTGAATCGTGTCGGCCAGTGGAGCATTGACTTCTTTTCAGAATCTGCAATGATGTATGGGATTATGATTTCAGATGTGGCATCAACTGATTTTTCACTGATTAATTTGTGATCGGAACATACTCAAAAGGAAGGTGTCAAGGCTTTTGTTTGGTTGATACTCATAAATAAGTAGCTTTTCATCACCCTGCACACAATAACAGACAAGCCTTACAAGGTTCTTGTGTTGCAGTTTAGCAATCACAACTACTTCATTACTGAACTCTATTGCCCCCTGCCCAGAACCTCTACTCAGCCTTTTAACAGCAACTTCTTTGTTGCCATGTAAGAGCCCCTGCATTATAGTAGCAGGAAGAAAATTAAGGTTGCAAAATACTATGGTTCAGTTTTGAATCACAGCAAAAAGTGACAGATTTTTCATATTTCGGTGCAATTAGAAACACACTGTTGTGTTTATGTTTACCTTGTAAACTTTGCCAAAGCCGCCTTCTCCAAGTAAATTGGACATAGAGAAGTTGTTTGTTGCAGCAACTATTTCCTCGAAGCTAATAAATGGAAGTTCATGAGTTTCCTCTCCAAGTCCATCACTAATGCGCAAACCCCCCATTATCAGTCTCTTTGATCTTCCTTCCTTGTCATGTTTGCCTAAGAGAAATATCATCTTTGTTGTCTTAAAAAGGCCACAATATGTGTCTTCCAAACTGCTTCTCAAAAATTAAATGAATGTACTACCTTTAAGCTTGCGGAACCATACAAGGCATGCCAATAGAAGTATCAGCAACACACTTGCTGAAATTGCTGGTATAACTTTTATTACGATGCTCTTTCGCCCTTTGCCTGAAAAGGAACGATGTTATGAGGTTCAATTTATTGTAAATATTTACTTTAACCTACAGTTCAGTTAATTGCATCAGGAATGTTTTAGATGAGTACTTGGGCTCACTACCTGTACCACCATTTGGGCATATCAAATACGTTGACATATATAGATAGTACAAACACCAAGCAAATGACAACAACATGGGGATAGCGCATATAGTCGAACAATTTGAATACTGAAATTCTGAAAGCATAGGTTTTCAGATTAGCATGTTAGGATTCTAAGAACTAATACCCTCTAGTGACTTTGCTGCGTGTAGTGGTGGAGCCAAAGTGTGAGCAACTCAAAATTTATTAGCAAGTTATAAGGCAGCAAGTTGTCATGCTCTGCTTCTTATGTTACACACAAATTCTTAAACTGAAGCATTCATGAATGTAAACAAGAGCAGTAGAAAGAGGAACGTACTTGACAAGGCAGCAAGGCGGAGATACAGGTTCTCATAGCCGATGGTGCGACCCTTCTCCACATCAATCAGCTCCCCGGTCCACATCAGGCACCTTGTTGCATCCCCATCAATGTTGCTGGTGCTTAGATTAGCATAAGCATATGCTACACATGAGCAATTTTTGCTGCACTCCACTTGGCAGTCATCATAGCTTTTGTTCCACAGGCGTACAAATTTGTCTGGCACCTTCATGGCTGGCAAGGTCAAGAAATTGTCCTCTCCACCACACTGCAGTTCTTCCTTTCTCCGGCAACCATGAGAAAAATTGCCTCTGACCCACTTTGTTTTGTCACTAGGGTCAAATCCATCAAGGCACTTACATGTGGGAATTGCTTCTGTGTTGTCGCAGTAGCCATATGCACCACAGTATCCATAGAGACTACAGCGGTAAGCTGGCGACGGTGGTATAGCAGGGGTCCAATCTGTCAAGCTGGTATTCCATCTCCATAGCGCGGTCTTTCCGGAGTAGTCAACCTTGTAAATTATCCTGGAGGAGCCATCTGATAGTCCAAATGTTGCATAGGCCTCACCATCGAAGCCCTTCTAAACTGTCAAATACATGAGTGGACTAACGGTCTGGAGACCCACGTTGGAGGATACATAGCCGTTCCACACAGTGGCACGGAAGTATGGCACTGACCCATCCCAGACGAAGAACTGTAGGGGACTGTCAAGGTCATTCCCACCAGAGAACCTGCCTTTTGAAGGGTCTTCAGGACCCTTCCAAGAGATCATCCGCCATGGTGGGTGTGTCTTGTGGGTCGTCCGCATAGGCATGCCAGGAAGGACGGTGTCACTTGGGTTTTCAAAGCTCTGCCATAACATGGCACCATCTGGTGATAAGACTACAAGATTGCCATTGTTGAGAAGCTTGGCCGAAGAGTTGCTGCCAGTGATTGTGTTTGTCATCCAAAGTATGTGGTGGCCATTGGTTTCGGACAACACAAGGCTAGAGTTGTCGGTCATACTAAGCACCGCGGATGAAGCATCAGTGATCGGATTATCGCGGTTGGCAACCCAGACAACGGTGCGCAATGGGATATCGTTGAACCATATGCCAACATACATATTTTCAGTTGAATTTGAGGGGGAAAAGAAGCCCAAGGCAAACGAACCTTGTTCCGAGATGAGAGTTTTTCCAGGAGTGAGACCCATGCCAGGGACAAGCATGCTGTCAGGTGTGCAGAGACGCACTGAACTGAAGGGCCAAGGAATCAGGAGCATGGTGATGAACAAGTGGAGGGAAGGCAGATACATGCTTACAGCAGGATCAGAGAAGGGGATAAGATTGGGTGGAGAAGATGGAGGAAAAATTTCACAGTGAACTACGAAAACTAACCTTGCAGTTGAAATAGGTGAACCGCTGTTCCATTTCCTTCTTTGTCGATAGTTAAGATAGACAGTGAAGTGTGAACGGAGGGCAGTATTCAATACAATGTAGCTCGACTGGTGGAATGGACCCTGATGCATCACTATCTATCAGCCTATCAACTTGAGAGTGGTAAATGCCAGGAAGGTGACTAGGTGACAGTAAGACAAAGAAAGCAGAGACTAGCAAAATGATACTTCTTCCGTTTCGATAAAGAAAGCTCACGCATATTGTTAGATCATCAACCTGACCAACAAAAAATGAGTTACATGTGCATATTGTCAGAGGACATGACTAATGGTCAGACCTCCCACAATGGAAATGAAAGAACACTACTAATTTGCACATTTATCACTACTAATATGAAACATGTTTCAGTTTGTACAGTGTCCAAGATCAGAGGTTATGGATGGCTGCCAGAGGACGAATCAGATTGCATGATGCCAAATACTACATGATTCACCTACTACTGAAAACATCATCGGATAAAATCAAGAGAAAGTTACTCAGAACCGTGAAAGAGAAAACTAATTATAGCTCTAATATTCAGGGGAGCAACAGGGTACATATGATCCTAAGGGAACATTGTGCAAACGCACACATCATCATGTGTAATCAACATAATTTGATTTTAATTAATATAGTTATTTGTCGACATCATCTTAATGCCTTTTCTAATCATCTGGCAGCTGGCCGGAATAAAGGCCTATGAATAGTATTCCGCTTTAATCATCTCATCTCTGCTACTTTTGTCCACAGAATCACTATGGAAGCGAAGGTAGATTCAGATGAGCTGATTATGTAAGTATCTCTGGTGATTTTTTTCATTTTAGTTCCTTTTGTGTCGTTGCCTCCAACAAAATATGAGGAACTATAACTTGAGCTCCTTTAGATGAATATTCAAGGCCACTCACTGATAATTCAGTGTCAAAGTTAAAACCTGGACATTTCCTCCTATCATTTCATTAACAAATATCTAACCGGTGTTTTCTTACTGTTTACCTTCCTTTTTTCCACTCATCTAGTTGTCTTATTTTGCATCCTGCTAAATCTTACTCTTTTGTCTTTTCATTATCAGAACTATGCTTTTGGTAGAAAAATCACATTTGACTTCAACTTGGGGTTTCAAGGTGTTGTACCTTCGATAACCATGATGCCCGTTACATGTGGACTCTCTCACTCTTGAGTCTTGACTCTTGCACATGTAAGTCATAAGATACATCTTTATCTTGGCAAAGAAAACCCTGTGGAGAACAAGGCATTAAACGAGCTTTCTCTGCACTCAATAATAATATCCGTATCTTTCTTCATATTTCTGTCCATGTGCATTAATATTGTAATAAGAAGTTGCACCTATACATTGGCTTTGGCCCTGGTAAGTCCCTTGGCAGGGGATAATGTCACTGCTGATATTCTTTCATGTGCAGCTGGAAACTTACCATTGTTGCCAGATATGTTGACCTCTGAAACAAGAATCTAAATTTATGAAACCATGTATACCTGCAAGATGGACGACCCATATTTGTTAATCAAGCATTTACATCATCAAACAAAAACTAAAATGAGTGAGTAGTTGCAGTACCATTCAGAGTTAGGGATCCACACATTACTTCACCCAAGTGCAGTGTGCTATCACTAGGAGCCTTTGTATTAGACCTCATAAGGCAGTTGCAAACGGACCCTGATGCTTAAATGAAGTAAATCAAATGCAGTCAACCAAAAATGGCATTTAATTAACGGTGTTTGTCGTACAGACACTGGATCGGTTAGAAGAAGTTGGTTCAACAGTAACCACAGAAACAAACACCATACAATTTGGTATCATTACAGAGCATGAGATCCTCCGAGGCACACCTCAAGCAGAAGGTAGTGGTAAATCATAACATTCTTTGGCCATGTGAATACACTGCAACCAATGTAGGACCTCCATATTAGGGTCCTCCTCTAGAACTACGTCTCTAGCAGCAATCTGAATTGCGCCACGGTACATGACAATCCTCCCACGAACCCTCAACAGGGTGCCCAGGCGTACCACCTCCGACATTTTCGATGCCATCTCTCTAGTTGGATCAGAATCGGACGAACTGTTTGCATTCAGGTATTGGTGGTTCAGCCACAGGACACATGGTACACAGCCAGTGCCATCATCAACCAGGAAGCGGAGAAACTTCTCCCTGCGGTCACGTGAAACAACGACCCCAACAACCTCGGCACGAGCCACTGGTGGAAAAAGGGCCTTTGGTCGCGGTTCGCAACTGCCATTAGTCGCGGTTGCGCAACCGCGACCGAACGGGCGCGACTAAAGGCCCCACCCTTACGGCCTGAGCGAACAAAGGAAGGCAGCGATGTATGTCGGGGGGTTAGCGTGAGGAGATCGGCAGCCAGAAGCTTGACGTGCACAAGATGAAGGGAGTCCATGCTGAGTCTGCATACAAACCATGAGGCAATGAAGTTCAGAGAAGAGATGTAACTAGAGCTGCACATTGTTACCATACATGATGAAAAGTTAAGCAAAAAAGCTATATATCTCGCTATTCGTCACCCTGGGTGAGGAATAGTTATTCTTCACCCCCTCTCTATTTTTATATCAACGCACCGTATTTTTACGTTTCGTAAATTTGGTCTTATTTCATACATAAAGAGAACGTAAGAAAATATGTACTCGCCGTAAAAATATATTTTATGTTACGTAAAATTACGAAATGTAAAAACATAGTTTAAAACATACATAAAATGTGATTTTTTTGGTCTTATAACCTATATTTTTTTGTTTTTTATACCAAATTTTACATATTAAATCAATATGCATGTAAATATTTATATTCTAAACGTAATTTATTTAGGAAGCGATCGTAAGACTACCTCGGGTGAAGAATAACTTATTCTATACCCTGGGTGATGAATAGTAACACTATATATATAAAATTGGCGGAGCCAGGATTCAAGCAAGCCGGACTGAAAGTTTAGCGCTTATAACAAACCAGAAAATTATATCAAGAGGTCAATTGCACAGCTATGGTAGAACTAGAAATCGAGATTTAACGATCCAAAAAAATGGATAATCATGGCCGAAATTACAAATAATAGTACAAGACTACATTTTCCAGACTGAGTTGAACACCAGGTTTCAGATTCTGTAGTTAATTGGTTGGTCTCAGAGTCTGCAGCAAACAACAGCGGTGCTCCTGTCTCCAGTCGCACCGCGAGAAGCAGATCACCGCGGGGAGCAAACATTGAATCAGTACAACATTCACCTTGAAGCAGATCAGATCACCGCGGGGAGCAGATCACCGCGAGAAGCAGCTGCAGGCTAATCTAACTGAAGGCCACAAGCTAGTCTAACAGTACAACATTGAATCAGCGCATACACTTAACATCTCTCCGACAAGCATAGATTTCAGAAGACTGAATCAATCTATAAACTCAAGACGCACTTGTGCTTCAATTTTTACAGTGGACAAAAAAAATGCAGTACACGAATTCGAATGAATAACATTCACCTTGCTCTTGCTCTGGATTTCAATTGATGCCCTTCAATGAAGGGATGCCCGAGGACGACTGAACGAGCCGACCGTGTCTAGTGGCGGCGGCGCCGCTCCGCCCGGCCGTGCCGTTCGCGGTAGGGTTCAGAGCTGAGGGCTGGCGCTTCGCTGGGCGTACTACTGGGCCGAGTGTCTGGGCCTGTGGAAGGCTTCAGCCCAGGCCCAGGTTTGGCCCAGGCCGTTTAGGCCCAGTTCAATCTTTTTTTTTTGCGGGTGAGGCCCAGTTCAATCCACGAGACGAGAGGCAAAACCTACCTCAACGCCGCCGCCGTCACTCCCTGCCACAAGCAGTCCACCACTCAGTTCACTCCTCTTGCTTGCCGCCGGCGACCATGGTGGATGCCGCAAGAGTGACAGCGCCGCCTCCCGACGGCAGCCTCCCGGACGAGATCACCATCTGGGAGATCCTCGTCCGGCTGCCCCCCAAATCGCTCCTCCGCTGCCGCGCCGTCTGCCGCGCCTGGCGCAGCGCCACCTCCACCCGCCGCTTCCTCCTAGCCCACAACGCCCTCCAGCCCACCCTCCCCCTCCTCTACGGCTACAACTTCGTCGGCGACGAGGTCGAGTCCCTCGACATCATCCCCTTCCACCAGCGGGCAGGCGCCGGCGAGCTCCAGCTCCGGCCCGTCGCGCGGCTTGCGCAAGACTCCGACTTCCACCATCTGGAGGCCTGCTGCGACGGCCTCCTCGTCCTCTCCTTCCGCAACACCAGCGTCCGTGACTGGCGCTTCGCCGTCTGCAACCCCGCGACTCGTCAGTACGCTCCCCTCCCGTTGGCTTATGGCTCCGGCGTCGAGTACTCGCTCTTGGGGATGTACCCACACACCCCCACCGGCGACTACCGACTGTTGATGTTCCGGGACTCGGTATCGATGCATCATCAACTGGTACCTGACGCCGCTCAAGACGGCTCCTACATCTTCACGTTAGGCTCCGGCCAGCCACCGAGGCACATAGGGTTCCTCGAAGCGGAGGTGCTGACATTCACCTTTGGGTCTCTCCTGTTTCGTGGTAGCCTGCATTGGCGCCCACCAGGCAACATGATAATGGTGTTCGACACCACGACTGAGTTGTTCTGGCAGATGCGCGCTCCGGCTGTTCCTCCTGGCCATGCTAAGTTGTTTCAGATGGATGAAATGCTTGGCATGTCTGGCTTTAATGATGCAGCGACAACCATTGATATCTGGGTGGCGCAGGACTACGAGAGCGAGGTCTGGGCCTGCAAATACCGGGTAGACTTCTCAGTTGCAGAGTTCACTCCGCGGTTTGGAAAGTTTGACGAAAGTTCTTGGGTGGTGGTCATGCCTTCGGATGGTGATGTGTTCCTACTGGTCAATTTTGGTGAGTGGCTACTTCAGCTTGACATTGGTGGCAAGTTGGTCGCTACTTTCCATCGCAGAGGCCTCGGTCCTGCAAATCTTCGTCTCAAGCAAACTCTTGTTCAACATACCTTCTTTCCAATACTAGAGGGTTATGTTACCAACTCTCCGCCTTTCATCTGACAGATGTTATGTCAAGTGCTGATTCTATCTAGCCCAACTGTCAGTATCCTCATGAGTTGCAGTGTGTGTGAATTCGGCCCACTATGAGCCAGCTAGTTTCATGTTGATGCATAGACAAGTTATGATCAACAAGCTTGACTGTTTCATGGTTATGTTTATGTTTCTCTGAATATTCTTCTGGGCTGAAGTGGCTGCCGTGAGTCTTAATGCTAAAATTGCAAGTCTCTGTTTACTTTATATTTCTATGTTTATATTTCTCTGATCATTTAACTGAAGAATTAACTTCTCATTGTATTTCTGTTTTTATGTTTTGTTTTAGCTGACAATGAAATGAGGCAAATTATCCTGTTTCAATTAGCCAATTTTTCAGTGAAATGTTCTATTGCGGTTCATTTTTATTCATGATTCAATTGCATTTGGTTAAGTACTGAGATATACTGTTTTAATTCTGCCTTCATGTTGTATCATTATTCATTTGGAGTTATATTTATCACTTCACTTTATCTGTAGCCATTTTAAGGAATCAATGATTCGTGTGATGTTTGATATTAACATAAGCTCGAGAAATAGAACCTTTATTTATAAGTAGTAGAAAGGTTATCATGGTCAGGCTCAGTTTCTAGATTGTGCTCCACTTTAAATTCTGTAAGTGTCAGCCATGTTCTTTTGTCCTGTGATTGGCACAATGCGTATGAATTGGGTCAACTATGAGCCGGCTAGTTTCTTTTTATGTGCTGACTGTTTCATGGTTGCATGCAATTTATGCTTGTGTGAAAATTGTGAACATCCTTTTGGGCTGAAGTGGTTAGCATGTTGATTCTAAAAATCATGAAGCTGTTTTGGCCAGCTTTTGAAATGGCTGCCATTGTTCTGTCTCGTGTCTCTGTTTTCCTTTGAACTGAAGAATTGACTTGGTTTTTAATCGAGATTTTCTTCTTTCACTGTTTCTTAAAGGTCATCTAGTGGTTTCATCTACTAAAAATTTAGCCAATATACACTTGTTTCCTGTTTCCATGTTTTGTTGTAGCGAATGATCAGCTGCTATACCAAGTTTGAGCCCGCGGGCTTCTCTGTCGATGCATATAAAGCTGTGATCAGGAATCTCTTGTAAGAAGTCTTGGTTTAAACAGAAAAGTTGGCTGATGATACCAATCTGTGGTAATGCTAAGTTTGATTGATCAAGGTATTGCCAAAAAGTCATTGCAATGTTGCTTGTGCTGTGAATAGTACTTGTCAGAATAATTTGGTTGGTAGGAACATACATGGTCTAGTCTTTCCTGAAATGGCCTTGCTCTCACATTATCATGCATGTTCTAATATTGGGAGAAAAGTAAATTTGGTGGGTGGATCCAACCAGGATTGCTATCATGGATTCATGGGTGCTCTTATTTCATATCTTAGGTATCATGTGAATCATGGATAAGGTGAAGAGTTGGTGTTCACAGTTACTTGTTTGCTGATCTGTGCTTATTTGAGTATTTGACAAAAGTAAATCTCCTTCCAGTTTGTTTATTCTTAGATCATTACTAGTTTAGACTTGATGCACATTTAAGTCAACAAAATTCAAAGAAAAATTAAGGTTTGACAGTTGCAAAATCCTTTATAAAATGCGGGATTTCTAGCTGTTAATTAATTCATCACTAAAAGAAATATATGTATTTCACATACAGTAGAAAGCTTATGAGCAATGCATTTCTTGTCTTTTATCTTTTCCTATTTGCTCTGTGATCACTATCAGTAATACATTTAACACTGGTCTACCCGAGAACATCCACTTTATTGTTTTCTTCAGCCAACAAGACTCATCATACGCTGCTGTTGTCGCTGACCAGGCACCCTGTGCATTCTAGTTGTGTTTCTTTGTTCCTGCATGAAGCAAGAAGAAACAGGTGATGGGGAACAAGAAAAAATGTTAGAAGTTGCTCGCTGGAACCTACCTTGCAGCCGATACGTTCAAAATTCGGACTGCATGACGACGAACGTATAACAACAGCAAGATCCCACTAGCCCTGAGCAAGCATATCTTCAAATCTAAGGAATGCATCTTGACTCCTTGACCATGGATCGCCTATTTTTTGAGCGACTTGCGTGTAAATAGGTATGTAGTCAATATTGACCTGTGGCTCCGACGACGGTCACCAGGGAGATGATGCCTCTGGGAGCAATACAACAGTAATCTGACAAGCAGAATTCAGGCAGAGTTGGTGACCACTCTGTGATTAAAGTCTGGGATAGGACTGTCATTGTCTCTGACCAACACCAGGAAGCACTTCTGCTGGCGGCACGCGCACACTCGGCATAGGCCGATTTATTGAACTGAAGATTTGACTTTGCCTTTTATCCAGGTCTTCTTTTTATTCTTGACTGATTATCTGGTTTTGTTCTTGCTGATGATTAAATGTGGCAGATTATCCCCTCAATTCGGTCACTTGCTAGTTTCACCTGATTGTAAGAAGTGCTTGGAGGACTACCCGTTACATTGAATGGAATGATTGCATTATAGTCCACTTTTTTCAGTAAAATGTTTTGTTGCAATTCATTCCATTAGTCCGGTGCTGAAATGATCTGTCGTAATTCCTTCTTTCTGTTGCATTGTTTGGAATTGTGTCTCACTTTAGCTGCTAAGCATTTTATAGAATTAATGGTTCATACTATGTTCGATTTTAGCATAAGCTGAAGAAAAGATTGTCATGGTCAGCCTCTGGTCCCATTTTTTTTTGTTCCTGTTGAGGCACCGGAACTGCCAGCCATGTTCATTTTTCTCCCCGAGTGATGAAATGTCATGTCGAGTATCATTGGTCGAAAGCAGATTATCGCAAGCAGGATCACACCATGATTTTTGTGGCAATACAATTGTAGAAATAAGTGAAAAAACACGCTGGTCATTTGTTACTGGATGTAATTGCCCAGCTCCTCACATCACTTGCAGGCTACCCAGAGTCAGTTATCTGTTGCATGCATGCGTGAGATAAATGTACATATTGGCAACAAAATATTTTGATTGTGTGGTTACAGTTTATACTATCAATGCAATATATAAGTTTGACATCCTGATTGGTATATTCCAGTATGTTTGATCGATCTGAAACATGTGAAAAGTCTTTTCAGCTTAAACTGCATTTTCTGCTTTTTGTGTCAGAGACGCCGATACGGCATCTGAGTATATGAGCAAGAGTGGGGTTTTACATAATGTTTGGGGTATATATGTAGATAGATAAACTATTTTTACAGGGTATATATGTAGATAGATAAAGTGTGGGGTTTTACATAATGTTTGGCAGTGCATTTATACAAAATATATTACAGCATAAAAAGGCATATTTCAGCAGGGTAGAAACTTGTACTTGTATTGTTTAGGTGCTTCTTTCGATGGTTGCTACTTCCATTGATTCAAAGGTGGCTGTTGAAGGAACTGACAAATCAAGTGGTTAGGAATACGTCGAATTGTTTTTGTGCACCATACAGAGCTTCTCTAGCTGTCAATGTTACTTCCATAAAAGGCTCCAGTGTCATGAGTTCTGACGCTGCAGAATGAGCTGAGAATAAATTGTATTACCTCGGGTGTATATACTGTAGATTGCATGGCAAGCCAGTTATTCTCAATTCTGCTTGATTAATAAGTGGGTATCCGGTTAGCTGAAAGTCTGTAGCCCAAGGCTGAATTTGCAGACGCTGGGCTTCTATTTCTGTTTTTAAAAGTGTGCCTAGTGATTGGTACAGCGAGTGTGATGACGTTAATCTGGACGGGGTCTATGGGTGATCAATAAGGCTCATGGCCTGCCTCCTCTCCCAGAGCGACAATAAAAAAGAGAGTTCTGGAGCCGTTCCCTGTGGGATTTGTAAAACTTAATGTTGATGCATCTTTTGATCATGATCAGCTTAGGGGCATTGTTGGGGCGGTCCTCAAGGATCATAAAGGTAAATTCATTGCAGGGGGAATGAGAAAATAGACTGGTGCGCAGATGTCCTGACGGCTGAAGCTCTGGCTCTTAGATTCGGGTTGTCTCTTGCGCAAAGGGTGGGATGCCATCATCTTGTCATTTAATTCTGACAATATGGAGGTTATCAACACTGAAGAGCGGAGGATGTTTTGCGGGAGCGGCGGCATCGGTTTTTGACGACTGCTATCATTTGGCATGCGCTTTTACTATTTCTAGATTCGAACATTGTAATAGAGAAGCAAATAAGGTAGCTCATGAATTGATTGGGTTCGCTAGAATTTCATTGAATTTTGAAACCTTCGAATGAAATTGTAACCCTACTCATTGGTGATGTATTTATTATATCTATTGA